ATCCAACTCGGCTGGGGTCCTTACAAGATAAGAAGAGCGAGAGACACAGGGATGCACATGCAAGGAGGAAAGAGGATGTGAGGAAATAGTGAGAAGGTGCCTCTGACGCCAAGGGGAGAGGCCCCGGGAGAAATCAAACCTACCAGCACCGTGACCTTGAACTCTGAGAAATAAGTTTCTGTTGTTTAAGGAACCCAATCCGCGGTAAGTTGTCATGGCGTCCCCAGCCAACTAATACCTCTCCCACCCCACCCCACCCCCAGAGTTCGAGGGTGAAAAGGAGCCAGACCCAGCATGCACCTTTCTTCCCATCCACTCAGCTGCCCTTCTGTACAGACTGTTCCACAGAGCACCTGACACATGGGAAGCACAGAGCCATTCTTACACACACATAACACCTGGCCACAGCCAGAAGTGTTCCCTTCTTCATATCAGGATGGCATGCCCATTTTCCAGATGAGGAAACTGAGTCTTAGAAAGGATATGCAGTTTTTCCAGGGTCCCACGTCTCTTTAACTGGAGAGCCAGGACAAAATAGTCAAACCCAGGTTGTTTGTTTCTGGATCTCATACTCTTTCTTTCTTTCTTTTTAAGTTTATTTATTTATTTTGAGAGAAAGAGAGAGAGAACACAAGTGAGGGGAGGGCCAGAGAGAGAGAAGAGAGAGAATCCCAAGCAGGCTCTGCACATTTAGTAGAGCCCAACTCAGGGCTTGAACTCACAAACTGTGAGATCATGACCTGAGCTGAATTCAGGGGTCAGATGGTTAACCACCTGAGCCACCCACGCACACCCCCATGCTCTTCTTAATTTACTTAGTCAAGTTCACTGAGGTGTAATATACATATATATAATTATATTTTAATTAGTAATATATATAATAAAACTATAATTAAAATGCATATGTTTTAAGTCTACATTCTGATGAATTTTGTATTCAGATGTATACATCTACCCTCACAATCGGAATATACATTTTCCTTCCAGAAAGTTCCCTTATTCTTTATAGCCAGTTTCCAAACCCCAGCCCCCACTTCAGGCAATTACTGATCTGATTTCTGTTGCTTATTCCAGAACCCTGTGTAACTACAACCTTGCCAAGTGCACTGTTTTCTTTTGATCAACCTAATGTCTGAGATCCAACCCTGTTTCTTGTCTATTCTGTCAGCTGTCCCTTCCTTTTTATTGCTGTGTAGAATTCTGTTGAGCAGATATATCACAATATGTGGATGCATTCCTCAGTAGATGAACATTGAGGCTGTTTCTATTTCTTAGCAATTATGAATAATGCTGCTGTGAACACTTGCGTACAAATCTTTTCGTGGAATATATTTTCATATCGCTTGTGTACATACCTAGCAGTGGAATTTGCTGGTCACAGATAAGTGAATGTTTAATATTTTTTTTTTTTTTACAAATAGTTTATTGTCAAATTAGTTTCTACATAACACTCAGTGCTCATCCCCAAAGTGCCCTCCTTCATGCCCATCCCCCCCTCCCCCCCACATCCATCAGTCCTCAGTTTTTGTCAGCATTCAAGAGTCTCTCATGGTTTGCCTCTCTCCCTTTCCCCCACCATTTCTCCCCTTCTTCTCCCCCTTGTTCCTCCGTCAAGTTCCTCCTAATCCTCCTATACGTGCAAACATATGATATTTGTCCTTCTCTGCCTGACTTATTTCACTCAGCATAACACCCTCAAGGTCCATCCATGTTGCTACACATGGCCAGATTTCATTGTTTCTCATTGCCATGTAGTATTCCATGGTATAGATAAACCACATCTTCTTGATCCAGTGAATGTTTAATATTATAAGAAACAGTCAGGGGAGCCTGGGTGGCTCAGTCAGTTGAGCATCTGGCTTCGACTCAGGTCATGATCTCATAGTTCCTGGGTTCAAGCCCCACATCAGGCTCTGTGCTGACAGCTCAGAGCCTGGAGCCTGCTTTGGACTCTGTGTCTCCCTCTCTCTCTGCCCCTCCCCCACTCACACTCTGTGTCTCTCAAAAATAAATAAACATTAAAAAATGAAAGAAATGATCAGACCTTTTCCAAAGTGCTTGCACCACTTTATACTCTTGCTGGCAGTGTTAGAGGGTCCCAGGGACCTCACAACTTCCTCAACACTTGATATTGGAATTCAAAAAACCATCTGAGTCATTCCAGTGGGTGTGGCAAGGTACTCATTGTGGTTTTAATTGGCATGTCCCTAGCATTAATGATTAGTGCTTTTAAGCATCTTATAAAAAGATGAAATATGAAATGCATGCTATCTACTCACAGCTCTTCTTTTCTGAGGCATCTGTTCAAGTCTTTTGCCCATTTTTAGAGCATTTTTTTTAAGATTTTTTTATTTTATTTTATTTTTATTTATTTCTAGTGGAGAGAGAGAGACAGGATGAGCAGAGGAGGGTCAGAGAGAGAGGGAGATACAGACTCTGAAACAGACTCCAGGCTCTGAGCTGGCAGTCAGCACAGAGCCCGACGCGGGGCTCAAACCCACGAACCGCGAGATCATGACCTAAGCGAAAGTCAGACGCTTAACCAACTAAGCCACCCAGGCGCCCCTAGAGCATTTTTTAAAAGTTGAGATATACTTCACATAACAAAATTCACCATTTTAAAGTGTACCCTTCAGTGGCTTTTCCTGTATTCACTGTGTTGTGCAATCATTACCACTAATTCCAAAACATTTCTGTCACACAAAAAAAAAAAAAAAAAAAAAGCCAAACCTCATACCTATTTTTTTAATGTTTAATGTTTATATTTTTAAATGTTTATTTAGTTTTGAGAGAGAAAGAGCATGAGAACATGTTAGCAGGGGAGGGGCAGAGAGAGAGGGAGACACAGAATTCAAAGCAGGCTCTAGACTCTGAACTGTCAGCACAGAGCCCAACATGGGGCTCAAACTCACGAACCACAAGATCATGACCTGAGCCGAAGTTGGATGCTTAACTAATTGAGCCCCCCAGACTCCCCAATCATTTTCATTTTCTTAATGGTGTCTTTGAAGTGCAGAAGATGAATTTTTTTGATTAAGTCTATTTAACTTTTTTTTTTTCTTTTACAGAAACTCCTAAGAAATCTTTATGTCCTAAGAAATTTTTGTTAACACCAAGATCTTTCTCCTGGCAGTTTTATAGCTTGGCTTTTATGTTTAGCTAAAATGATCCATTTGAATTAACTTTTTCTCTTAAGTTTACTTATTTATTTGGAGAGAGAGAGTGTGTGCACACCTGAGCAGGGGAGGAGCAGGGAGAGAGAGAGAGAATCCCAATCAGGCTCTATGCTGTCAGCACAGAGACTGATATGGAGCTCTGTCTCACGAATCTTGAGATCACGACTTGAGCTGAAATCAAGAGTTGGTTCAGTTGGTTGTCTAACCAACTGACATACCCAGGTGCCCCCATTCTGAATTAACTTTTGTTTGAAGTTTATTCTTTCTGTACTGATATCCAGTTGATTCAGCACCATTTATTGAAAAGACTCCCCGTCGAATTGCCCTGGCACACTCTTATAAAAAAAAATAATCAACTTACTGACATTGCACTAATGCCAATGGTTTTGATGTTACTATTTTTTTAAAAAACAACTCTTTTTTATGCTTATTTATTTTGAGAGAGAGAGAGAGAGAGAACACATGTGGGAGCAGGGAAGAGGGAGACAGAGAATCCCAAAGAGTTCGACATGGGGCTTGAACCCATGAACCATGAGATCATGACCTGAGCCAAAATCAAGTGTCAAACACTTAACACTTAACTGACTGAGCCACCCAGGAGCCACATTGGTTTTTATGTTATATATACAATGTCACCTTTGGCAGAAACTGGGTTAAAGACATATGGAACCTCTCTGTTAATTAGCTTTGTGGTTTTCTTCCTTTCTAGTCTGTATTCATTCTACTTCTTTTTCGTGCCTTATTATGGTGTCTTGGACCCTCAGTATGGTGTTGACTGGATATAATGAAACTGAACATCCTTGTCCTGCACCCAATTTTAGTAGGAAAGGATTCAGTGTTTCACTGCTAAGTTTGATGTCCATTGTAGGTTTTTATAGATGCCCCTTATCATTTTGAGAAAGTTCTATTCTGTTCTTAGGTTTGCAGAGAGTTTTTCTCATGAGTGCATGATGAATTTTGTCAAGTGCTTTTCTCTGCATGTATTGAAATGATCATGTGATTTTCCCATTTATTCTATTGTAGGGGATTGCACTGGTTGATTTTCAAATGTTAAACTAACTTTACATTCTTGGAATAACCCCATGAGGTCATGATCCTTTCAATATATTGCCAGATTTTATTTGCTATCATTCTGCTGAAGAATTTTATGCCTGTGTTCATGAGGTATATTAGCCTCTAGTTACACACACACACACACACACGTCTTTAATACAGAGCCCTACTTCGTCCTTAAATAAAATATGAGGGCTGGGGAAGTCTTCCCATGGAGATTATTTCCAAGCCGAGATCCTCCCCAGATAGGCCCCTATTCCCAGGTGTGCCTGGAATACTAACCAGCCGCCGTGGCTGAGACAAGATGAGATGAGCAGGCTGAGTCACACCTGGGTCTCTTAGCGTGTACGTTTGACAGGAAAAGCTGGGACCAAGGTCTGAGTGTCTAGTATCCAGGTTCAAGAAGTCAATTTTGTCAGATCACCCAAGGGTGACAATTTCCTAGGGAACTGCATCTCCTATAGGAACCCAGAGAGGCGAAACAATTGGATCAGAATGTCATCTTATTAATTTGTAATCAAAGGAGACTTTTCCTGAAATCTGAAAATTCATACCTTTTATTCAAGGAACGCTCTGCCTGTCTTGGTTTCTAGGTACTGAAGAAAAGAAATTAGTCAAGTGGAGACTTCTTAGCATGGAGCCCAGGGCGCAGTGGTGTTTATTCTGCCCAGGCTGAGGTGGGACACAGGGTCCTCCCTGTCCCTGGCCGGTGACCTGGTGCCAGAGCGTCCCTCTCCCGTTGCTGGTACGGAATGAAAAACAGCAAATGCTGTACTCACTTTGGCAGCACATGTACTAAAATTGGAACGATACAGAGAAGATTAGCACGGCCCCTGAGCAGGGACGCTCACACAAATTCGTGAAGCGTCCCATATTTTTAAAAACTGAAAGGAAAAAAAAGAAAAAGCAAAAAAGAAAAACAGCAAATGCTTCGCCTTGGGCAGTATTTTTTTCCAAGACTCAGTCCAGGCCACTGTCTTCTCTTGTGGCCTTTGTCATGTTATCGTCCATTCATCAACCGCTGGTTTTACATGTGCTTTCATTTTGTCTCCCTGATGGAGACTTCGGACGCCCTGATTCTGAAGCGTGGGGAACAAATATCCTGTGGCTTTCAAACATGGTCGTGTTTGACCCATACAGAAAAGGGTGCTAAACAAAACACAAAATGAAGTACCTGGGGATTAAGCATAAAGCAAATACTTGTGCAACCACTACCCAAGTCAAAGTCAGGACACTGGCCATACCTCAGAACCCACCATAAGCCCCCTCCTGTCACAAATCTTCTCGACTCCCTTTCTCATTTTTATTTGATCACTTCCTTGTGCTTACCTATAATTTCCCATCAAAACATGTATTCCTAAATCCTACGGCTGAGTGTGTGTGTGTGTGTGTGTGTGTGTGTGTGTGTTCGTCTGGCTTCTTGACAGTCATGCATGCCGTTGTACATCGTTGATTCATTGTCATTCTGCCCTCTGAATATACACAATTTATTTATCCTTTCCACTGTTGGCAGACTTCAGAATTGTGTTTTTGGAATCAGTTTGAAAAGTTCTATTTTTAAAAAACCTTTGAGATTTTGAGTAGGATCAAGTTTCAGATCAGTTTCAGAACTGATGTACTTAACATTATTGGATCTTCTTACCTGTGAATGTATTATGTCTCTCCATTTATTGAGCAAGTCTTTTTAAGTTTCTTGCAGTAATTTTTGTTTTTTTTTAGTGTTTTAGGTTTTCCATTCAGAGATCTTTGCATATCTTTCTCTAGTTTTTTTTTTTTCTTTAGGCGTTTATTGTTGTTTTAAGCCATGGTAGATACTACCTTTTATTTATTTTTAATTTTTTAAAATATTTTATTTATTTCTGAGAGAGAGACAGACAGACAGACAGTGTGAGCAGGGGAGGGTCAGAGAGAGAGACACACACAGAATCTGAAGCAGGCACCAGGCTCCAAGCTGGCTGTCAGCACAGAGCCCGACACGGGCCTTGAACCCACAAACCATGAGATCATGACCTGAGCCGAAGTCAGATGCTTAACTGACTGAGCCACCCAGGTGCCCCGATACTATCTTTTAAATTTATTTTTCTGTTTACCGCTGGAACACTCTTGATTTTTGCATATTGACTCTACACCCAGTAACTGTGTTAAAATCCTTTATTGCTTCCAATATGTATCAGCAGAGTCTTTTGCATTTGCTTTATACAGAATCTTTATCAGAGATTAATAGCTGTCTTAGATTTTTTTCCCTTTCCAGGCCTTAAAACTTATTTTTTCTTGCTTACCCCACTGGCTAAAGCCAGTACAATGCTGAATAGAAATGATGGTAGTGAGCTTTTTTATCTCAAACAGAAAGTGTTCAACTTTTTGCCAAGCATGATTTTTGCTGTGGGTTTTTTATTTGTCTTACTTTTTTAAATTTATTTCTGAGAGAGAGAGGGAGGCAGCATGAGCAGGGGAGGGTCAGAGAGAGAGGGAGACACAGAATAGGAAGCAGGCTCCAGGCCTTGAGCTAGCTGTCAGCACAGAGCCTGACACAGGGCTCGAACCCACGAACCGTGAGATCGTGACCTGAGCCGAAGTCAGTTGCTTAACCGACTGAGCCACCCAGGCACCTCAATTGCTGTGGGTTTTTTAATTGATGTCCTTTATCAGATTCAGGAAGTTTTACTCTTTCCCATGAGTTTTTATTGGATGTGAATTCCAAGTTATAGCAAACATTTCTCCTGCAAGACCTGAGATGAACATGGATGTTCCCTTTTAATCTGTGAATGTGGTAAATACCATTAATTGATTTCCCAGCATTAAATCTAGGATAAGTCCAATTTGATCGTGAAGTATTATCCTTTGATAGAATCCCTGATCCTGCTGATTCTATTTTGTTTAGGGTTTTTGCACCTATATTCATGAATGCAATTGGCCTGTGCCTTCTCTCTAGAACTGTTCTTGCTGAGTGTTAGTAGAAAGTTACTAGCCTTCCAAAATTAGCTTGTGTATCTTTTTCTACTTTCCAGCAGAGATAGACGAGTAAGCAGTTTTCTTTCTTCACTGTTCAGTAGGATTCCCCAGTGAAGTCATTTGGGTGTTGAAATTTCATCATCAGATATTTTTCTATTATAGATTTAATTTATTTAATAGTTATATGGAACTAAGATTTGTACTTTTTGTGTTTCAGTTAGATTGCATGTTTATGTGAATTTGTCCATCTCATCTAAATTTCCTAACTTATTGGCATAAAGTTAATAACAATAATCTCTTATTTGAGTGGTGAAGTCTCTTTTTCATTTCTTATACTTGCTGTTTGTGCCTTCTTTCTTCTGATTGATCATTCTCACCAGGGGCTTAGCAGTTTCATTAGTCTTTTCAGTTTTGGCTTTGCTCATTCTCTCTGCTGTATTTTCTTTTACATTTGTTTATACTTTTAAATGATTTCCTTCCATCTACTTCTTTTGGGTTAATTTTTTCCGTTCTTTTTCTAACCTCTTGAAGTATTAAAGATACTCAACTCATATCTCAGACTTTTTTCTTCCCTAAAATATGCAATCAAGGCTATGAATTTCCCTCCAAGCACTGCATTAGCTTTATTCTAAGAATTTTATTGTGTCATTTTTTCCCCACTACATGTAATGTGGTTCAAAATAATTTCTAATTTCCATTTTTCTTTGTTTAGAAGAGTATTTTGGAACATATTATTCAAAAGCGTAGTTTTCAATGATACAGAGTTTTTCCCAATTATATTCTTGTTATTGATTCTTAACCTATTTACATTGTGATTAGGGAACATTATTTGTTTTGTATCCATTCTTTGAAATGTATTAAAACTTGCATTTTAGCCCAGTACAGAGTCAAATTTTTTAATGAATTGTATCTTGTGAAACTAATGGATTCCGCAGTCATTGGGTACACTGTTCTTTGTGTCTCTGAAGTCAAGTTTACTCACTACATTGTTTCAGATCTTCCAGAGTTGTTTCTTTTCTGCTTGTTCTGTTAACTAATGGAAAAAGTACATCATAATATTCCCACTGTTACTATGGACTTGTCTACTCTCCATATAATTCTGTCCACATTTGCTCTCTATATCATGTTATTAAGTTCATACAAATTTAGAATGATCTTTTATTATTATGGAGTAAACTTTAATTCTAATTTTGCTTTTTAAAGTATGTTTGTTTGGTATTAAAATCTCTACATTGACTGTCCTACTAGTATTTCAACGGTATGTAACTTTTCATCAATTTCTTTTCAGTTTTTCTGTATCCCGATGTTTCAAATGTGTCTCTTCTACTTAGCCTCTAGAGGATTCTGTTTCTATCTACTGTGACCATCTTCTAGCTGGAGCAGTTGACCCTCTTATCATTAATGTAATTATTGACCTTTTCATCATCATCTCACTTCAGATAAGACTTTCTGTTCATCTCACCTGCTCTTTGTTCCCTTATCTTGGTTTCATTTGGTTATGTTATCTCCTTTTGTTCCTGTTAGTTTGGTAGTTATTCAGGCTTTTACCATTGTTTTTACTGATGTTCTAGAACTTACAATATGCAGCCTTGGCCTATCACCATCAAATAGGATCCTCTCCTAGAGAAATCAAGGAATTTAGAATATTTACATTTCTGTCACTTTAGATTCTTTTATTGTCTTGAACTTTCATTCTCTCTATACCATAAGCCCAATAAGACGTTATAAAGTCAGTGTCCATTTGGATTTACCCTCCCATTTGACATTTCAGTTTTTATGTCTATCCCAACCCCTCCCTTCTGGGACATTTTTTTTTTTCCTGTTTTGAAGTACAGCCTAGAATTCCCTTTGGTGAAGATTTTTTTTTTTTTCATTTTTTTACTGGGTAGAAGTCTAGGTTGGCAAGTTTTGTTTTGTTTGGTTTTCCTTCCAACATATTGAAGTTATAATTCTACTACTCTGGCTTCTAGTTTTGCTGCTAAAAAGTCAGCAAAACTTGCACTTCTGAAAATCATGTTTTTCTTTGGCTACTCTTAAAATTTTTTGTTTTTGGAGTTTCTGTACTAGGTATGAATTTATCTTTATTTATTCTGCTTGAAATTTATTTTGCTCTTTGAATTTGTAGATTGCTGTGTTTCATCAATTATGGAAAATCCTTAGCTTATTCATTCAAATTTGCTTCTCCCTCATTCTTTTTCTCCTTCCTTCCTAAAATTCCGATTAAACATGTTAAATATTCCTTCCTTATAATTTATATCTTATTTTATTATATTTTCTCTTCTTTTGTCTCTTCATAGTTCATGCTACATTGTTTTCTTCTGAGTGTTAACTCAGGATTAGCCATAAAAATAGAAATTTAGTATGTACAGAGAGAAGTTACTGATCACACACACACACACACACACACACACACACACCCTTCACCCAAGCAGGGAGAAAGTCAGTGGGAGGCAGACACGGTAACAGGCATGCACACATGACCTTATCGGCATTGTTCAGTCTTCTCTTTCAGCCACTGCTGACTCTCAAGGGAGACATCCGTGACCTCTGCTAGTAACGCTTCCTTCTTCAAACCATAAGTTCGAGTCTCCTCTTGGTCTATGTTCTGTAACCTGCAAAAACAAGCAAACAAAAAAACTAAAAAAACCAGTTCAGACGTCTCCAGAGAGGTGCAGGGAGATTGCTGCTTAGTGGCTTAGTGCCCAGTGGCATTAGAGTGGGCCACAATTTTATGCTAACATTTCTATTAAGAAGTTAGAGATTATATTAACCAGGAGTATTGGCGTAGGTTTGTTGTTTTATTTTTTGTTTTTGTTGCCTCTTCAGGCTTTCTTTCAGAGGCAAACTGCTTTTTTACATTAACTTTTTTCATGTATAAACATATTTTCCTTTACTAAAAAGTTTTCCCAAGAGGACCATGTTCAAAA